CACTCCACTGTATGGGAGCTGCCGAGCAGCGGATTAAGGGCCTGGGTACAGAATCTTCTTGGGTCCAAATACCTCCTAGAGTTTTCCCATTGGCCACTTGGTGCTTACCTCATGTAAATAAAGTACTGGCCCACAATTGGTCTGATTGGTTGCACAAAGCAACCAATCAGGCTGAAGTGAAGTTACAAAGGTCACACTCCTGTGCAAACACCTGATTGGTTGCGGAAAAAGCAACCAGTTAGGAGGCTAAGGCAAAGTTACAAAGTTACACTTTTATGCAAACAAAGACTGCCTGCAGTTAGTCTGATTGGTTGCAAACAGCCAATTTCCCATCTGCCTTGTAGAAAAGGTGGGAGTTTGCAAAGGGAGTAGCTTCTGGTGCTTTTGTTACTGAGTTGTGGAAAGTTGGGGTTTTCCTTTCAGTTTAGTTCTAGGAGGTCGGTGTGAAATGGCCTTAGGTTCCCTGCCTCCACACCCTGTTCTTCTGCCTCATATCCAATATTTAGTTCCTACTTAAAAATGAGAACATGGGATATTTGGTTTCCTGTTTCTGCATTAATTCTGCTTAGGATAATGGCCTTTAGTTGCAACCATGTTGCTGCAAGGACATTATTTTATTCTTTTTTGAGGCAGAGTTTTCCTCTTGTTTTCCAGGCTGGAATGCAATGGCAAGATCTCAGCGCTCTGGGACCTCCGCCTCCTGGGTTCAATCAGTTCTCTTGCTTCAGCCTCCCGAGTAGCTGGGATTACAGGCCCCCACCACCACACCTGGTTAATTTTTGTATGTTTAGTAGAGACAGGGTTTCACCATGTTGGCCAGGCTGGTCTTGAACTCCTGACTTCATGTGATCCACCTGCCTTAGCCTCCCAAAATGCTGGGATTACAGGTGTGGGCCATCGCGCCCAGCCTCATCTGTATCTTTGTAATAGCCACTTCTTAGTCTCCCTGTCCCAAGTTAGTTCCTTTCTCCTCTGCTCAACTTTCATGTTGCCATCAGGAATCGCACAGTTCGGATTATGTTTTTCCTTTCTTCTAAAACTTTTAATAGTGTCTCATGGCTCACAAAATAAAATTCAGACTCTTCTGTTTAGCATTCAAAGTGTTCCACTCTTTGGTCTCAAACTGCCTTTTCTGTTACATATATTTGTATGCACTCCTTTTATTACCATTTCTCTCTCCAACTAACCCTTCTCCCAGAAAAGAAAAAGAGGTATTTTTTATTTCAATGTTTGTTCACATTAGTTTTTTTTTTTTTTTTTAGCTTGAAATACTCATTCTCTCCACTTGCAATTAAAATTGGATTTAACTTTTCAGGTCCATTCCAAGTGTTGCCTTTCTCCCTCCATTCCCCGGCCCCATCCCACCAATCCTGAAAATGAATCACTCCTTTTTGGTTCCCATAGTATATTTCTCATACCATTGTTTGCAACTCATATTCTGGTTACTGGTGGACGGAACTAGTAACAGTAACTAGTAACTAACTTGTCAGTCTCCTTACCGTCTATTTTTAGACCTCCTTGTGTCCATCCTTCTTTCCAATTGCTGCAGTCTTCCTCATGTTGTGCCTTTCCTCACTCCTGCTGTTCTTAACTCTAGTGGTTTTGAGATCTGGGTGGAACATGTCCAGTTATGTTGTACATTAGCTACTCAGGAGGCTGAGACAGAATTGCTTGAACTCAGGAGGTGGAGATTGCAGTGAACTGAGTTTGCACTACTGCACTCCAGACAAAAAAAGAGAGAAGCAATTGTCAGGAACTGATAGAATCTACTTACTATTAGTATAAATATCTTAACAGTTTTCTTTTTCTTTATCCTAGGTTTATATACTCATTATTTTGAAACTTGTTTTCTTTATCCTATGTTTATATATTTATTGTTTTGAAATTTCAAAGATTATTTTGTCCTCATTGTATAAGTGTGTGAAATATCTAGAGGCCTGGGAGGAAAATAAACCGGTTTAGGAACTCACAGAGGGTGAGTAGTAGAGCTAGGGTTTAAACCCAAAACCCTTTCAAGAATGGCTTTTATAGTCATGTAATGAGGACATAACTTTATTTTGGGGTGATATTTCTTGAATGCTTTTTGTAGCATTAACTAGCAAGAAAAAATGTCTACCTTGGGCTACTTCTTTTTATTTTTGTTCTGTATCACAAGTCATCAAGCAACCCCTGGGCTACCTTTTTTTTTTTTTGAGACAGGGTCTTGCTTTTTCTCCCAAGCTGGAGTGCAGTGGTGCAATCTCAGCTTACTGCAACCTCCGCCTTCCAGGTTCAAGTGATTCTCCCACCTCAGTCTCCCAAGTAGTGGGACTAAAGGTGCATACCACCACGCTTGGCTAATTTTTGTATTTTTAATAGAGACAGCATTTCACCATGTTGTCCAGACTGGTCTCGAACTCTTGACCTCAAGTGATATGCCTGCCTTGGTCTTCCAAAGTGTTGGGATTACAGGCATGAACCACTGTGCCCAGCCTCTGGGCTACTTCTTATGCAGGTTGATAGGCTGATATAGCACTTGGGGTGATAGTCTCTGTGGCATTTTTTTTTTTTTGGTGGGGGGATGGAATTTGCGCTTGTTGCCCAGGCTGGAGTGCAATGGCACGATCTTGGCTCACTGCCCAGGCTGGAGTGCAATGACGCAGTCTCAGCTCAGCTCACCACAACCTCTGCCTCCCAGGTTCAAGAGATTCTTCTACCTCAGCCTCTGAAGTAACTGGGATTACAGGCATGCACCACCACACCCGGCTAACTTTGTATTTTTAGTAGAGACGGGGTTTCTCCATGTCGGTCAGGCTGGTCTTGAACTCCCGACCTCAGGTGATCTGCCTACCTCAGCCTCCCAAAGTGCTGGGACTACAGGTGTGAGCCACAGTGCCTGGCCTAACTTTTTCTCATTGAAAAAACAGGTGGCTTTGTTTAGTCAGATCCATAATTGGAGACGTTTGCAATACTTGACCAGAAAGCAAACCAACAATCCTTTGCCCTGATTATTCTTCCCCATCTCACTTCCCAGAAACAACTAGTTGTACTTTTTTTAGGTATTTCTTTTGCTGTTTCCCTTCACATTTCTATATTGATATTTCTAGACATTTTTTACTTTCTATTACAGTAGCTGAAGTCTTAACTTCCTTATACTACTTCCTCTCCCATTCCTCTGTGTGTGTGTGTGTGTGTGTGTGTGTGTGTATTTTCGAAACAGGGTCTTGCTTTGTTGCCCATGCTTGAGTACAGTGACATGATCATGGCTCACTGCAACCTCTACCTCCCAGGCTCAAGCAGTCCTCCTACCTCGGCCTCCCGAGTAGTTAGGACTACAGTCATGTGACATCATGCCCATCAGATTTGTGTATTTTTTTCTAGAGATGGGGTTTTGCTATGTTGCCCAGGCCAATCTTGGACTCCTGGGCTCCAATTGCCCACCTTGGCCTCCCAAAGCGTTGGGATTACGGGCATGAACTACTGCGCCTGGCCTGTTTATAATTTTTACTAAATTAACATTTGATATCTATATTATTATGACTATAAATACTGTTTATTTTGAGTCATCATGGATTATGATAATATTTTCTGTTTTTGCACAATAAAATTAATTTCTCATAGTTAAAAGTTACCAAATTTTTCATTTGCCTAGTTATTTGTGTTCCTATTACCAATTCATTCATTTGACAAATATTTACTGAGTGCCTACTATAAGCCAGGCATCATTCTTGGTGTTTGGGATATGTCACTAAACAAATCAGACAAAGATTCTTTCCCTTGTGACACATTCTAATTGGCAGATAGACAATAAACATAGTGAAATATAAAGTATGTTAGAGGTGCTAAGGGGAAAAAAGCAGGGTTCTTGAGGACATGATGCCTTTGATTCATGGTTCTTTATATGTGACCTGGTTTTTCTCTCTGAAAACTTGTAGAATTTTCACTTAATTTGGATGTCCCGCAATTTTACGATGATGGGCCAGACCCTGGTGTACATTTTCATTTTAATTTTTCATTCTTGACATTTTGTGAGCCCTTGTATTCTTTAGTTCTGATCTTATTGCTTTGTTGTTTGACTGAAGTAACAATCAGTCTGATGCAACTCAAGGAGAAAAGCTTTGGTTATTCATGTTTGGTCATCTCATAGTATATAAAACCCTTAAACTGTGAGTTTTTTTGATGCAGGTATTATTTTATTTTTAAAAATTATTTATGTAAAAAATTACTGATGTCAAATAATATTTTAATTTATTTCCTTTTTCCAGCTACTGGAACTTGGAATGATGAAAGGTCTTGTTTGTTATGCCTTTCTCATTCATTTCAATTCTATGGTTTGGCAGGTTATGTGTCCCCCTGGTGTTCTTGTAGACAGGAAGCCTTGGGAGTCTACAGAGGCTGTATTCTCACTTTCAAATTGTGGCTGCCCTTTCACTTTTCTTAGTCTTTTTCAGGTCTTTTATCTTACTAGTATATGTATTTTTAATTGAGATAAAATTCACATAACATAAAATTCACCATTTTAATGATTTTAAAGTATATATTTCAGTGTTTTTTTTAAAAAAAGTAATTTACAGTGTTTTATGATATTACATCTAATTCCAGAACATTTTCATCATCATCATCATCCCCAAAGAGAAACGTGATACCCAATAAGCAGTTAACTCCCATTCCCCCTCTCCTTTCAACTCCTGGCAACTGATATTCTACTTTCTGATTCTATAAACTTGCCTATTGTGGACATGCCATGTGAATTATGTCACATAATATATGGCCTTTTGTGTCTGGCTTCTTTTGCTTACAGCGTTTTCAAGATTCATACATGTTATGCATATATTAGTACTATAAAATGTTTTTAAATCAGTCTCTGAGTATTTGATTTTTCAGTATCCAGAGAAAAATTCTGCATTTATTATCTTTACTTTGATTTTAATACTGGCCTTTAATTGACTTTTTCACAAAACATTTATTAGATATAAAATGATATTGGGTAAGTTTTCAGTATGCATTATTTATTTTTTTAGTATGCCAGTACTGAGGTTGATGGAGAACATTACATGACCCCAGAAGACTTTGTTCAGCGCTATCTTGGACTGTATAATGATCCAAATAGTAACCCAAAGATTGTGCAGCTCTTGGCAGGAGTAGCCGATCAAACCAAGGATGGGTAAGTATCTTTATGCATTTTCTGAAAACTAATGTTCTGGAATATATTTTTAAAAAGTTTAAAAACCCACAAGTTTACCTATGAGTGTCTAGAATTTTAATATTGGTAAACATTTAATTGGTAATTATTAATTTACTCATTCATAATTAGAAAATATGATTTTTAAAATAAATATATTTTATATTTTGGGGATATAGAAATAAATATATTTTATATTTTTGGGATATAGAAATCATTATGAAGAATATATTAAAAACATTTTTTTTTGAAAAATAATGGGAAGCTTTATGTTGAAAAAAATGAGGATACCAGGAAAGTATTCTACTTTTATTCTACTTTATAGGTCAGATTCTGAGCCAATAAATTTTAAACCACCCTAATGGGAGATCCATGTTTTGTTTTGTTTGGTCTACAATAAAAAATGTATATATATTTATTTATATATATATTATATTATATATCCAATATATATTATATATGTATTTATATATATATTATATGTAGGATATATATAATGCCAGTATCCAATGTTTCAAGATTCATACATGTTATACATGTATGAATATATATACATATATATATACATATATATGCACGACATGTACTAATATATGCACAATTTAATGTAGACCAAACGAAAAACATGGATCTCCAGTTAGTGTGGTTTAAAAGATTCATACATGTTGTGCATATATATATCCAATATATATATATATTTTTTTTGAGATGGAACCTCTCTCTTTTGCTCAGGCCAGAGTACAGTGGCGTGATCTCAGCTCACTGCAACCTCTGCCTCCTGGGTTCAAGTGATTCTCCTGCCTCAGTCTCCCAAGTAGCTGGGATTATAGGCATGTGCCACCACACCTGGCTAACGTTTATATTTTTAGGAGAGATAGGGTTTTACCATGTTGGCCAGGCTGATTTCGAACCCCTAACCTCACGTGATTTGCCTGCCTCGACCTCCCAAACTGCTGGGATTAGAGGTGTGAGCTACCATGCCCAGCCTTTAAAAATTGATATATACTAGTTGCGTAATTAAACTGTATCTTTTATTCAAAGTTTATAAAAATGGTGTTTTTTATTGCATTTATCAAGGATACTGGCATTTCTTTTTTTTGAAAAAATATTTTATAGGAAGAGCCACATTTTATGTTGAATAATCTGAGCAGTTTCAGATAACCAAGTATATTTCTTTCATTCATTCAATAGCTATTGAGTGCCTACTATGTCTCAGGTACTGTTCTTGGTGCTAGAATTATTAATATATCAGTGAAAAAGCCAGACAAAGATAATAAAAAGGGAATTATAGTATGTTTGGAGGCTATAAGTGCTATGATGAAAAATAGGGGAGAGTTTAGGGAGTGACACTCATTTCTCTCTCTACTTATTTATTTGGCAAACAGTAACTGAACAGCCACCGTGTGTCAGGCATTGTTGGGCCTTATAAATACAAACATAAATTAAATGAAGCTTCTGGCCTTAAAAAGAAGATTATAGCTTAGTGAGAAAAAAGATGACTAAAAAAAGAAAATAATACTTCTGAAATAAGGTGCTGTGGTAGGTATATGAGAGCTACAGAGGGAACCCAAGAAAGCATAGTTAACTCTTTGGGTGGTCAGGACAGCATCACAGAAGAGGTGATGCTTGAGTGAAATCTGGCAGGATGAATACAAGCTTGTTAGTAGTTGGGTAAGTAGGGACGAGAATTCCAGGAAAAGGAACAGGAGTGGCATGAAACATTAAGGGTGTGTGTGTGTGTGTTAGGGAATGGTGATGGGGGAGGGTTGTGTTGCAAGTACTTTGATGTGATTGTGGCATTGCTTTGTTGCTGTGGGACATGTAGTTGGAGTGGCTGAAGGCTTTTGACTCCCATCTTTCAGGTATTTTTACAAGAGAGTCAGTTTACTCAACTCAGGAGAAAAGCCATCATTATTTTCATTAAAATCATACATGGCTGTATTATGGAGGTGAATGTAATATTTGCATGAATTAGATAAAGAAAATTTTGGCTCACTATGGCAGTTTCAGTCTACATCCCCAGGCCTTCAGGGCCCAGGTTCTTTATCCTACCTGTTGAGGTGCTTATGTGGCAAACTTTAAGAAACTAGGCAGTAAGTAATCTAAAAATTATCTCCATTACCACAGATATAAAGAGATTTTAGAAATGGTGGGTTGAAGTGAGACAAGAAGTGCATGCAATAGACTTCATTTAGCTGGCTGTTGTAATAATTAAAAGGGAAAGATTAGTGTCTAAGTTCTTTGAGTCCAGGATTAGTACTGTATACAGTTTTATTGTCCCATAGAACCTCGCACAGTGTGTGAAATTTACTGTGTGTTCAACAAATGTTTGTTTTGGCAAGATTTTATATCATTTATAAATGGCAGGTATTGGGAACTTGTATACATTTTAGGTCTACTCTCTCATAATATCAAATCAGCTGCTAAATCACTGGATCATTGAATCATATGATTTTTCAAGTGATTAGACAATAAAGCATATAAAAATTAATTATACCTATCAAACTTCCTTCTTCAGAATTATTAAAGATAATATATATATATATTTAGCTCTTTTAGAAATTAGCAGAGTATTTATTGTTAGTAATTTAGTCTAAGACCTGATTTCAGAATATCCACACTTTTCAAATATTTCCTTTTGTGACCATTTGCTCTATTCTATCTCAGTAGTGTATCTTCTTTGAAGCTTCATGTGGTTCTCTTAGGTTGAGTTGCATTGTTACAGTAGGGCATTTAGGACATTTTCTTTTTTTTTTTATACATTGGAGATGGAGTCTTGCTCTGATGCCCAGGCTGGGTGCAGTGGTGCGATCTCAGCTCACTGCAACCTCCGCCTCCTTGGTTCAAGCAATTCTCCTGCCTCAGCCTCCCAAGTCGCTGGGAATTATAGGCACATGCCACCATGCACGGCTAATTTTTGGATTTTTAGTAGAGACAGGGTTTTGCCATGTTGGCCAGGCTGGTCTTGAACTCGTGACCTCAGGTGGTCTGCCCACCTTGTCTTCCCAAAGTGCTAGGATTACAGGCATGAGCCACCGCACCCAGCCCATTTTTCTTCTTATAATCATCCTTTTAAAAAGATATTCTCTGCTGAGCACAGTGGCTCACACCTGTAATCTCAGCATTTTGGGAGGCTGAGGTGGGAGGATCGCTTCAGGCCAGGAGTTTGAGACCAGTATGGACAACATGGTGAGACCCAATCTCTACAAAATTAAAGAAAAAACTTAGCCAGGTGTGGTGGCATGTCAGACCAAGTCTGAATGAGTGGAACTAGTATAGACAAGTTCAAGTGATTTGGTTAAGTGTGTGAGAAAACCTGGTTTAGGAGTGGTTGAAATCATGCTCTTTTGTGCTCTGCAATCCTTCCCCCATGTTTTCTAGCATGTTGACTGTCCCCTCTCTCTTGTTCCCCATCTCCTTTTCCCCAATAGATAGTAAAATAAGTAGGAGTGTTTTGATATGGGTGCTTGCTGTAGAGAGCCATGTAGCATACAAAACAGCATTGTATGTTATAAATAGCTCCATCAGTTGTCTAAAAGTAAGGCCATTAGCCAAGTATTATTTGTGGGATTGTGGCTTAAACTTTGAAGTTCTGAAATATAATAGAAAGCAAAATGATTTTATGCATTAAATGCAGATCTCAGAGACTATAATTGTGTGATCTAAGATATTTAGACATTTGCTTGGTTGAGATTGTAACTTCTAGAACCATAGTTTCTATATTTAGTCCTAGTCAGAAGTTTTTCTGGGGGTTTTGTTCTCCTATGATATGGAAAACTAGTTTTCTTTTCTTCTTCTTCTTTTCGCAAGTGTTTTCCTTTATGTTACACAGGCCTATAGAGAAACCTTTTATGGAGAAATCTTGATTGTTACAAAAACTGCAAAATTAACATATTAATATTTTGTCATTTTGTTAGTTCCTATTTGCTAAATTGAAAGGGGACTTTGTAGAAAATTTTTAAAAACACACCAAATTTAGAAAATGTATTTTTCAGAGTTATAAAATGAATGCATGTTCTTTCTAAAAAGTCAGACAATGGGGTAATGTGGTAAAAAGTCAAAGTACCTCCTTATCTCCATTAAAAGAAAAACTAATACGGTGTGAGCTAATCAATAGTTTCTTTGCTGCACAGTTAGTAGGTTGTAGTTTGCATTTGTTCTGTTAAAGTCTTGATTGGGACCTTCTAACAATAAAGGAATCCATGACAGGATAAAGGAAAAAGGAGCTTTAAAAATTATACTAGAGCCAGGCATGGTGGTTCATGCCTGTGATTCCAGCACTTTGAGAGGCCAAGGCTGGAGGATCTCCTAAGACTAGGAGTTCAAAACCAACCTGGGTAAAATAGCAAAACCCCATCTATACAAAAACATTTAAAAATTAGCCAAGCATCATGGTGCTTCTCTATAGTCCCAGTTACTCAGGAGGCTGAGACAGGAGGGTGGGTCACTTGAACCAAGGAGTTCCAGGTTACAGTGAGCTCTGATTGCACCGTTGCTCTCCAGCTGGGAGAGAGATTGAGATCCTGTTTCTTAAAATAAAGAAAGAAAGAAAATTCTGGAACATGCTTGCTTTATGTTAGCATTGCAGACTATTTCTTACTTTCTGAAAAACATTGTTGCATTATAATGCAGTAAGCATATAATGACTGTGGGCTTAAAATAGAGGAAAGTATCAGAGAGACTTTCAAGTAGCCTGTTTTTCCCTCATTCCCCCAATATTTTATTATGAAAATTTTCAAACATTCAGGAAAGATGAAAGAATTTTATAATGAACATGCATATACCTACCACCTAGACTACCACATAGATTCTTTTCTTTTCTCTTTTTTTTTTTTTGAGACAGGGTCTCACTCTGTTGCCCAGGATGGAATGCAGTGGTGTGATCATGGCTTACTGTAGCCTCGACTTCCTGAACTCAAGTCATCCTCCTACCTCAGCCTCCTAAGTAGTTGGGACTACAGGTGCCTGCCTGGTACCCAACTAATACTTATTTATTTTGGTATTTTTTGTAGAAATGGGGTCTTTCTGTATTGCCTAGGCTAGTCTTGAACTTTTGTGCTCAAGCAATCCTCCTCCGTTGGCCTTCCCAAGTGCTGGGATTACAGACGTGAGCCACTGCACCCAGTCAAATTCTGCTATTAACATCTGACTATTCTTGCTTTTTCATGTATCCATCCATCCCTCTATCCTTGCATCAATCAGTCTTTTTTTTATACATTTCAAAGTAAAGTGCAGACATTGATACACTTGTTAAATATTTTAGCATGCACATTATTTACTAGTATTCAATATTTGTTTTGATGGTTTTGTTGCTGTTTGTTTTGAGACTGAGTGTGTCGCTGTCACCCAGGCTGGAGTGCAGTGGCGTGATCTCAACTCACTACAACCTCCGCCTCCCAGGTTCAAGCAATTCTCATACCTCAGCCACCCAGATAGCTGGGATTACAGGCATGTACCCCAATGCCAGGCTAATTTTTTTGTATTTTTAGTAGAGACGGGATTTTACCATGTTGGCCAGGCTGGTCTCAAACTCCTGACCTCAAGTGATCCACCCACCTCAGCCTCCTAAAGTGCTGGCATTATAGGTGTGAGTCACTGTGCCCAGCCTTTGAGTGTTTTTCTTTAAATGTAAAATTTACACATAGTAAGAAAATGTAAATCTCAAAGGTATATTTGCTGAGCTTTGACAAATGTACACCCCTAGGTGGCCTCAGGTGACTTTATTTTTATTGTGTTAAAATATACATAACATAAAATTGACCATTTTAATGGTTTTTAAGTGGACAGTTTAGTGGCGCTAAGTACATTCACATTGTTATGCAACTATTATGGTATCCATTTGCAGAATGTTTTTGTCATTCCATACTGAAACCCCATACCCATTACATAATGACTCCCCATTCTCTTTCTTTCTACTACAACCAGCCCCTGATAACCACTACTCCACTTTTTACTGCTACTATTTTAGCTGCCTTACATATGTAGAACAACACAGTATATGTCCTTTTATGTCTGCCTTATTTCACTTAGCATAATGTTTTCAAGGCACATCTATAAGATATGTCAGAATTTCATTACTTTTTAAGGCTGAATCATGTACTCAGTTGACTTACTTATTATTAATTTTTTTAGAGACAGAGTCTCACTCTGTCACCCAGGCTGGAGTACAGTGGCACAATCATAGCTCATTGCAGCCTCGAACTCGTGGGCTCGGGCTCAAGTGATCCTCTTGCCTTAGCCTCCTTAGTAGCTAGGACCACAGGCATGTGTCATCATAACTGGCTATTTTTTTTACTAATTTTTAAGTTGTTGGTGCTTTTGTGTATTTTTGTAATATATCTGAAGGTAACTGAGTATTGAGGGATGGCTGAATATTACCTTAACAGTTTCTTTTAATGTCTGCTTATTAAAGATGCCAGATACCCTTTCTGGTTTTCAGCTAGATCTTTAAAATTAAGAGAGGATTAGGAGGTGTACAGTGATGGGAGAACTCCAAATTGAAGGCAGGAGTTAGGAGTCTTCAAGTAGACTCACTGATTTGCTGAATGTTTTTGAGGAAGGTCACTTAACTTTTGCCTTTCTTTTTTTTTGAGATGGAGTTTCGCTCTTGTTACCCAGGTTGGAGTGCAATGGTGTGATCTCGGCTCACCGCAACCTCCGCCTCCTGGGTTCAGGCAATTCTCCTGCCTCAGCCTCCTGAGTAGCTGGGATTGCAGGCACGTGCCACCATGCCCAGCTAATTTTTTGTATTTTTAGTAGAGACAGGGTTTCACCATGTTGACCAGAATGGTCTCGATCTCTTGACCTCGTGATCCACCCGCCTCGGCCTCCCAAAGTGCTGGGATTACAGGCGTGAGCCACCGCGCCCGGCCTAACTTTTGCCTTTCTAAGGGTCCTTCTGGCTCAAAAGTTGCCTGAATGTATAATTTACCTTTTTGAATATGCTGACAGACAAAATGTAGATATTTAATAAATTCCATAGACTTTATGTTTTAAACAAAGGGCTACTTAATTGGAAACCTATGTGACAAGAGTCTAAACCCACAAGGACAGTGTGGTCTGTAGATAACTGATGAGCCCCGGTTGGTCGCCTTTCTGGAGGAGAAAGACTGCTTGTCTTCAGGGGGCTGGTGCTACTTGGGACCAGAAACCTAGTGTTGTCCAAGCTCGCAATTTTTCAAAAGAAACCAGAAAACCAAGTATTTATGGGAAATCTTGTGATTTCTTAATGTCAACTAATGCAACTAAAAAATAGTACTTTGCACGCCGAAGAAAACACGTTTGTGGACCAAATTCAGTCTGCCAGCTGATAGTTTGTGACCTTTGCTAATTCAGGAAGAAGTTTTTGGCCCTTTCTCATAAATATAGAAGGTTTTACTACTGAGCATGAAATATGTTTTAAAACTACATATTCTGTATTTCAGGGTAGGTGTATTTTTTATGTCCAATTTGTGATACTATTTTTTAAAAACCAATGTGCTATACCTTTTAAAAGAAAACCCATAATTAGCCTATTTTTTATTTTTAAAAGTATTGGTCAGTTTTTTTCTTCCTCATACAGAAATCACGTGAAAGATATACTATAGAAAATCCTTGTATCAATTAACACATTTTGAAATATATAGAATAATTAACATTGGACATAAAGGAAAGATTAGTTTCTAAGGAAAATACTTCATTGAAGACCACTATGCAGATCTGTGTATATATGAGACAGATTTTTATAATGCAGTTACTTGGACACTCATTTCTTATAAGCAGCAAGATGACATGGAATCTTTGTAGCAAGCTTGCTATGAAAGATGACGAAGCTAGCATATGCTGACTTTGTAAGGTCACTGAAAGCAATTTCTGTGTAGTTTTGACCACTGGTTAATTTTATAAGCTTGAGTATTATAAGATTCATTAAGTTCTAGAAACCCAATATGAGTTTCTGCACTTTTTGTTATGTTTTGTTTTGAAATGCAGTGGCTATCCACAGGCACCTGCATTGCATACTACAGTCTCGAACTGCTGGGCTCAAATCCTCATGCCTCATCCTCCTGAGCAGCTGAAACTACAGGTGCATGACATTGTCCCTGGCTCCCACCTTTTTTGTTCTAATTTTTCCTTTTAACATTTTTATTTCTAAAAAATAAAAAAATTTTTTTAAACAGGGTCTGGCTCTGTTACCCAGGCTGGAGTGCAGTGGCACGATCTTGGCTCACTGCAACCTCCGTCTCCTGGGCTTAAACTGTCCTCCCACTTCAGTCTCCCAAGTAGTTGGCACTACAGGTGCACACCACCACACCTGGCTATTTTTGTATATTTTTATAGAGACAGGGTTTTGCCATATTGTCTAGGCTGCTCTTGAACTCCTGAGCTCAAGTGATCTGCCTGCCTCGGCCTCCTGAAGTGCTGGGATTATAGGCGTGAGCCACTGCACCCTGTCTCTAAAAGTTTTACTTATTTATTTATTGAGACAGAGTCTGCTCTGTTGCCCAGGCTGGAGTACAGTGGCATGATCAGGGCTTATAACAGCCTCTACTTCCTGGGCTCAAGCAATCCTCCCACCTCAGCCTCCCGAGTAGTTGGGATTATAAGTGTGAACCACCATGACCAGCTAATTTTTTATTTTTACTTTTTGTAGAGATGGAGCCTCCCTATGTTGCCCAGGTTGGTCTCAAACTCCTGGGCTCAAGCAATCCTCCTGCCTGAGCTTCCCAAAGTGTTGGAATTATAGACGTGAGCCACTGTGCCTGGCCAATATTTTTATTAGTGACATTTTAAACATGTATAACACAGAGAATAATGTAAATTCTGTGAACTCATCACTTTTGATTATTACCATAATAATTATTAAATTTACAGGGTGCAGCCGGAAAGGCGGCCCGCCCCCTACAAAAAAAAAAGAAGAAAAGAAAAAAAAATTATTAAATTTATTTATACCTCCATTTCATCTCCATCCTATGGATTATTTTGATGCAAATTCTAGATGATGTATTTCATTTAAGTGTCTTGCTGTGTATCTCTAAAAGATAAGAATGCTTAACAACCACAAAAACCTCCTAAAAACATTGATTTTGTAATATCATCAAGCATTTGCATTATGTCGGTATTTCCATTTCCCTGTCTGTCATATAAATTAAAAACCTTTTTATTTACTTTGTTTAAATTGGAATCCAAATAAGGATGTACATTGTGATTAATTTTTGTATCTCTAAGGTCTTTTAAGATTGAGATTCCCTGTGCCTGCTTCAGCAGCACATACACTAAAGTTGAAATGATACAGAGAAGATTAGCATGGCCCCTTAAAAAAAAGAATCTTTTTCATAGCTTCTTTAAAAATTACTTTTCTGCAACTGTGGAATGTTTCTTCTGTCATTTCCTACAGTCTGCATTTATGTGGTGGTGGTAAGTATGTTCCTTTGTCTGTTGTATTTTCTATAAATTAATGATTAGATCTAGAGCAGTGGTTCTCCACAGGGGTGATTTTGCTCTCTGGGGCGATACTGGCAATGTCTGGAGACATTTTTGCTGGTCACAACTAGGGGATGCTATTGGCATCTAGTGGGTGGAGGCCAGGGATGGTGCTAAAGATGCTACAAGGCACAGGAAACCCCCACAACAGAGAATTATCCAACTTAAAATGTCAACAGGTTGAGAAACTCTGATCCAAAGACTTGATCAAATTCAGGCTTAATTATATTTTGCCTGGTTCTCTCTCTTTTCATGAAGTTAGGAGCTATTGATTGTTGCCCAGTTTAATTTGCTAGGGACTTACAAAAGGCTAATATCTAATTCTCCCTTTCTTCCTTATCTGAAGTACCTCTATAAAAACAAACTCCTCTTTATCAATTATTTGGTTACCCTTTACCTACAGTTCATGTAATAAAGGCAGATTAAATGCCTGATGCTTTCCTACAGTTCATGTAATAAAGGCAGATTAAATGCCTGATGCTTTCCCTTTCTTCACCAGCCAATGACATTTATATTTTATTTCAGGTTGATCTCCTATCAAGAGTTTTTGGCATTTGAATCTGTTTTATGTGCTCCAGATTCCATATTCATAGTGGCTTTCCAGTTGTTTGACAAGAGTGGAAATGGAGAGGTGACATTTGGTAAGGGAAAAAGAAGATTGTAAGTGATAAGTAAAGTTAGTGATGCTGGTCCAGTCTTCAATTGCTAAATCTAGTAACTAAATAGAGATTACTGCTTATTTAGGACCTGATCCATAATTGAATTTCCTAAAAGGATGTATGCAGATAAAGATGGCTTTATTTTCTTCAAAGCATTAAACTGTTGCCAAAGATGAAGAAATGTAGGAATGCTGTTGCTTTAGCTTATTGAGTCACTGACACTTTCACATTCCTAAAATAGATGGTGTAAGATTTTTCTTGTTCTGGGCCAGCCTGGGCAAAATTCCTTATGAGGTAGACTGAACAACATGAACAATTTTCTCATTCTTTAAGTGATTTTTGGATAGGGATTTCAGAGCTTCTTTGTAGCATCCCTGGAAAATTGCTACTATGCCATTGTAACACCAAGAATGGAACTGAAGGAAGATATCAAGGCAAACTTAGTTAGTGTTCTCTGAACTTGAATTCTAGATTTCAGTTTTAGGAAATAAGGCTAGAATATTAAAATTGCCATCTCAGTTTGATGTAGAAATTGATTTAAATCCTCTAGTAGATGCATAATCTAACACATTGTTGATGTTTCACAAGGATATACACTAGGATTTTTATTTGTAACCATATGTTAAAGACACTTATTTACAGAAATTAGTCTATGTTTAGTAAAAGTACTGGCTAATTTTTCCTGCAACAATTTTTTCAGTAAAAACCATGTAGTATATTTTCAAGGACCTTGAACACTGCCCCCACCTTTTAAAAATATTTGAATTTTTACTGAGGCAAAAAACACATAACATAAAATTTACTATCTTAACCATTTTAAATGTATAGTTTAGTAGTGTTAAGTATATTTATATTGTTGTGAAACAGATCTCCAGAAATTTCTCATCTTGCGAAATTGAACTTAAGCTCCTTTTATAGTGTGAATTGGCATGGATATTTGTAGAAAAACCCTTGAAAATCAGGCTTTCCCTGAATGGCATTAAACACTTTAGGTGTTTGAGTTCCTAACTAGATGTCCTTTAGTAAACCTCAAAGGAAGTATCACTGGAATGGTCAAAGTGGTGAGAAAGTACAAGTCAATCAGAAGGACCAGTAGTGCCTTGACCATAACCTTAGTAGGCACATTTTCTAGCTTGGCATTGATTGTTTTCTTCCTTCTGCCCATTGACTTAATTATCTTCTGTATGAGAGATGAGAGTATGAGAAGACGTTCCAAAAAAATGCTATGCAGAGTGTTTTTGCTGTTGTTAAGACGGGGTCTTGCTCTGTCGCCTAGGCTGGAAAGCAGCGGCATGATCTTGGCTTACTGCAACCTCTGCCTCCCACGTTCAAGCGAGTCTCCTGCCTCAGACTCCCAAGTAGCTGGGATTACAGGCACATGCCACTACGCCAGCTAATTTTTATATTCTTAGTAGAGATGGGGTTTCACTATGTTGGCCAGGCTGGTCTTGAACTCTTGACCTCATGATCCTCCTGCCTCGGCCTCCCAAAGTGCTGTGCAGAGTTCTTTAGAAGTTGGCATCCTCCTCCTTTGGAGCAAGCTTCGAACATTTTGCCTCCTGAAGAATGTTAACTTTCCTCAGAAACACCTAGATTCTGTAGTTTAAAGCACAAAACCTCCATCCTCTCATTCACATTAACCATGTGCTACTAGTAATGCTGCATTTTCTAGTTTCAGTAGTTTCACACATGCTCACGTATATCACAAATATGTTGCAGAAATGCTTGGGAAGTAACTGGATACAGATGTCTGGAGTTAGTGACAGTGCCCTGTGCTTATATCCTGTGTGCATTAAGAATTAGATCTCACAACCAAATTCTAATTTATGTTGTCTCTCTACCTTGATATCATGGTTCTTTTTGTCTCCTCCATTTAATTACTCTCCGCAGTTTCTATTATATAAAGTTAGTCACTCAAGTCACTTCATCCAACAGACTGTCAAGACTAACTTAACAGTAAAGACACATGCCATTGTTGATAAGTAGATTAAAATGAGTGTAGGAAGTAGCTACATTTATATATACCTTATTTAATGTAAATGAAAGCTTGTAGTTATTTGATCTCAATTTTAGATTTTTTTCTTTTTTTTTTTGGAGACGGAGTCTCACTCTGTCACCCAGATTGGAGTGCAATGGAGTGATCTCGGCTGACTACAACCTCTGCCTCGTGGGTTCAAGCGATTCTTCTGGTTCAGCCTTCCTGGTAGCTGCGATTACAGGCACCCATCACCACGCCCAGCTAATTTTTTAATTTTTAGTAGAGATGGGGTTTTGCCATGTTGGCCAGGCCGGCCAATCTCGAACTCCTGACCTCAGTTGATTGGCCCACCTCCACCTCCCAAGTGCTGAGATTACAGGCGTATGCCATCGTGCCCAGCCAACTTTAGCTTTTTATAGGTTTTCTGTTTTTCTCTCAGACTATGATTTATGATGAGTTAGAATTTTAAGAAATATAATTAGGATTAAACACAAATCAGTTTTAATTTTTACAGGACCTGGTATAAACTAAAGAACATATAAGCCCTCTAGAATCTTGCTTTCATTCTTTTGCTCCATAATCTAGAGACAGGAATATTATTATGGTATAAAAAAAAGATAAAGCCAGATGCAGTCGTGCATATCTATAGTCCCAGCTCCTTGGGAGGCTGAGGTGGGAGGATCTTTTGAGCCCCAAGTTTGAGGTCAGCTTGCACAACATAGTGAGACCTTGTCTTTAAAATAAAAAAATTTAAAAAAATTTTTTTAAGTTGTACGCTGTTTCTGTTGTGGGTTTCCTGGCTAGCTGATTGATGCTCTTGATTGTGCTCACCTATTTCCTAAGGACTTTGACCATTTCGTCTTCTGTCCCTGCCTTCCTAGTTTTAAGGATGCACTTTCAGACAAATTTCCTTAACTAGGATCAAAGAAATAAAAGACAATTTAATTTCATATTTTTAAGAAGACAAATATTGAAACTGTTGTAGCAAATGCCATTTAACAAGATTTCTAGGGCCTGCTTATTTTGAGCCATATTCAAGACAATAGAATTTCTGCATAAGGAAATAATTAACTTGAAGTTTATTTTTATAGGATTTTGGATCGGGGGTGAAGGTCAGTTTTCATGTTTGTACCCACTTAATAAAATGAATTGTGCTTATATACTTATAGGCACATGTTTAGGTAAAAGGAAATTTTAGATCCATTCTAAATAAATCCTTTTCACCAAATGGCATTCTGTTTTTTAGTTTGGAGCTAGTTACAGTTTTCTCTTGTGCACATGAGAGAAAGTTGGGAGACAATACTAGATGCAAGGTGTAACAAAGTGGACAAAACCTGTTATGCCATCAGCATCTCTTGTAGACTATGATGATAATGTTATCTGTGTACTTGTATATATTGTTCTCATCTATGCTTTTGTCTTTTTAGATACGATTTTTATACACATCAAATTTATATTTGAACTGTGTGTATCTTTGCAAGTATTTATGTAAGCAGTAATATTAAACATTTACTTGAGTGCTTATATGAGGTTTTTTTTGTTGTTAAAGATGCCTCCACTCTCAGGGAGAGGACTTAGATTGAGGCCTTGGAAATGCGTTTCAGAATGTGAAACCTCAGGAAAGGGTTCTGGAGTTTTTTTAAAGAATGAATAAAATATTAGTTAATTGTTTCCTCTTTGATGTTTCTTTAATAAAACTTCTAATGCATGCTGTGGATTACTTAATGGCTTGTATATCTGTTACTGCCAGGTGGCATGAGCCTTGTAGAGGCCATTGCATGACTGGTATGTGCTAGATACAGTGTAAGTTTGCCTTGGTCTCACTACTGTCCACAAGTATATTGGAGATCCTATTCAGTAGTATTAGATTGAGGTAACCTAGATAAGCAGTTATATGCAGTGGCTCACATCTGTAATCCCAGCAGTTTGGAATGCCAAGGTGGGTGGATCGCTGAGCCCAGGAGTTCAAGAACAGTATGGGTGACATGGTGAAACTCTGTTCCTATGAAAAATACAAAAATTAGCTAGGCATGGTAGTGCATTCCTGTAGTCCCAGCTACTCAGGAGGCTGAGGCCAGAGGATTGCTTGAGCCTAGGACATGGAGGTTGCAATGAGTTGAGATGGTGCCATAGCGCTTCAACCTGCGTGACTGGAGTAAAACCCTGTCTCAAAAAAAAAAAAATTGGCTTAATCAAGATTTAATCTCTTTTTTTCTTTTAAGACAACAAACTGTTATCTATTAACTAATAAAATGAGTATGAAACATGTTACATGTTCTGAGTTCTCTATTAACATCAACATTGTGTTCCAAATTTGGTGTTTGCCTAGGAATGGAGACTCTTCAAAGTAAACTTTTTCAAGGACACATCCTCGCCCCCTGACTGAAGAAACCTCAAAAAGCAGGGATTCTGGCTGGGTGCAGTGGCTTACGCCTGTTATCCCAGCACTTTGGGAGGCTGAGGTGGGCAGATCACAAGGTCAGGAATTCAAGACCAGCCTGGCCAAGGTGGTGAAACCCCATCTCTACTAAAAATAAAAAATTACCCCGGCATGGTGGCGCATGCCTGTAATCCCAGCTACTCAGGAGGCTGAGGCGGGAGAATCACTTGAACCCGGGAGGCAGAGGTTGCAGTGAGCCAAGATTGTGCCACTGCACTCTAGCCTGGTGACAGAGCAAGACTCCATCTCAAAAAAAAAAAAAAAAGGCATGGATTTTTAAAAAAATGTAGTACTATGCTTGACCATTAATATGTATAGGAAATAAAAATGTGTTCCATTTGTGTCTCTGAAATAGGCTTTTTTTCCCTGGAGAGAATAAATTGGGGTGGTTTAGACAAAACTACTGCTGTTATTTAAAGAATCAGGAGATTTATGAAAAATGTACACTTTCTCACTGGAAACAAAGCTATAGACATGAAATTATATTAAATTCTGTGGTGGCTGGGCACAGTGGCTCATGTCGGCAATCCTAGCACTTTGGGAGGCCAAGGCGGGATGATCACC